ATGAAAGGTGAAAAGTACAATATTTGGCCCATTTGTCTGAGATCACGATGCTGCAATGACAAATGAGGTAGACAAAGAAACACAAATCTGAAGATTCAAATTCTCAGTAATTGTTGTGTGGTCATAGTCATGTGGAAGTTACATTGATCCTTTTCATAGTAGGCTGTACCCATGTCTGGTCTTTTTTTTTCTACTAATGTTTTTGATTTTCATCCCACCGATAACAATAAAGACAATAGCACTTTGAGGTGCAGAAGCAACATGAATGAGCATGGACGAGCTAGAACTTGCATGATATGTACAGTTTCAGGATGACTGCTTCTCTCCTCTAACCCACCATCACAAATAAAATGAATGAAAACATTTAATTGACACAATTAAGACCATTTATAAAACCTGGGCTGAGTGGGGATATAGCATCCCAATGGAAAGTCTGAGACACCCGATAAAACAAACTATTTTGTGCGAAAGGAGAAGAGCCTATCAGACCACAGACACATGTGTTTGGGGAAAAGAGAAGCATAATCTGCAGTAAAGTCCACATGCAAACACATGAATTTGACAATCTAATTACAAAAACAAAAATAAATTACATGTGGTTTGACTCAAGTAGCTCTAGAAAGTGAGGGAAAAAAGGAGCAGCTTACAGTCTGAGCCGTCAGTGTTTTCCCAACAGCCAGAACCAGAAATATACAACGGAGGAACAGTTTAGGCCACGGACAAATCATAAACTAAAACAAGTAAAAGATATGTTAAATCACAACAATACTGAAACCTTCAACATGACAGTCAAATGATGAAAAAACGAAGTGGGAGTCATAAAATATAATACACATTTTCTAGAAATAAATAGAATTGTCAAACAAAAATGCTATAATATATTTTTTAAAACATTCTTTTGAAATAAATAGCTTATACATATATTTGTCTTCAGTAACTTTATTCTCCGTCAGTGAGTATCACTTGACAAAAAAAAACTATTATGCAATACACAACCTAGGCAAAAGCAGCAGTTCCTTTATGTATTGCACAACACAATTATTTGATGACAGTCTTGTAACTTTTTCATGACACATGTGATGCGTCTGGCAGTGAGTTAGTGAGTCAGTGAATATACATAAGACAGATACAGAGAGTGAGCATGTTGTAAGACCTTCGGCATAAGTGTGAGTGTGAGGCTTAAATTATTGTTTAGTAAGTATTTGTATGTATGTCTCTGTGATTGCACTAACACAAAATGTATTTATATTCTGTCTCCTAGAAACTAGTAATAACATTTTGTTAGGTTTTGAAAATGAACAGCCATATAATCAAATACATAAGTCATATTTAACCGTATCATTTCTCATCTCACAAAGATCTGCGCTACTCACATCAGGGTCTTTTCATTGTTCACTATCTCACTATCTGACACAAGCTGAGATACTTTGAAAACAAGAGTAGAAGTAACTGAAAGTCAATCCAAGACGTTCCGTGCTATGTTCTTTAAAAAGAAATTTCCAGTATTCTAGAATGAGACATGACGGCCAACTTGTAATCTGTTCAGCTTGAAGTACGGCAACAGTTATTTCACTTTGGTATATCTATTGTTAGAGATAATAACACAGCAAACATTCGCCATGTACCCTCAGACTTTTTGCTTTGGTATAAATGAAAAGACACAACGGCAAAACAATCATGTATGAAGCCTGTCCAAGCCGCAAGGTGTAAAATGATACTTAATTAACGATCTTGAATGGATCTGAGTTAGAGCTTATAAATTACATGTACAGAGTAAAACAATTCAGAAACTTGTCAACATGGCCCCTATCAAAATCAAAGCATTTTAGCCAGCAGCTCATGACAGAATACATCCCATCATCCTTCATAATATCTGTGGTCAAGAAAATGTAGCAATAAGATCGTCATCTTTTGAGAAACTGTCCTGTTGAATATCGCTTTTGGGGTCAGAAAAGATGAAAATGTCATGATGCAGGTTCAGGACTTTGTGGACAATATGGCAAAAAACCTTCCTGCCATGTTTATTGACCCAGTCTTCAGTGAGATTTGCCTTGTGAGGAGTAGCTTTATCTTGTCAAAGATGCGCTCATGTACTTCATTTCGTACTCTTAGAACAATAGTTTTGAGACCCATACAGTACTATAATACTACTGCTTCTCACAGACAATTTCATGAACGACTGATATCACAAGGGAACGACTGAAATCACAAGGTCAAAAAGCCAAATCATTCTCCTTTACTTTCTGCCATCTATCTTCACAAATAAGTATCTCAACTTCAAAAATGTGGTCTTGAAGTTTGCAAGCGCTCCGGAGATGGCTCAGCAACCAGATTTGCCAGCCCCACTTTAAACAAACTACACTCCTGAAAACCCTGTCATTTATTCATTACATTTTCGCCATAAATATCCATAATTTTGCCAAAAATTTCGGTGCTTTTGTTTCCTTTAGCGTTTTAATGTACGAATCCACACTTTTACCTTTGACCTCTCCTCTAGGAGAGTTGACTTGTTTGGCGAGATGACACAGATGCATGTACACCATACAGCAACTGGTGCTTTGGCAATGACAAGTAGTGATCACTGCCATTGGCATATCATTTTTTTATGTTTTGGTAAGTGTTTTAAGGCGCCCACAACTGTATAAGATCATATGAGTGTGTGGGACACACTAAACATTTTCAGTCTGGTAAGAATTTTGAATTTTGCCCAGGTAGTGGCCGAAGCCTACTCTTATCGATTTTAGGACCGTTATACGTTGACATATGAAGATTATAATGAGAGCTACAATAATCTTCGTGACGACCATTTTCACTTTACTTTTCTGATGCTTCTTGCAATATTTACATAAAAACAATTACAGCAGAATACATGAATACATTTTTTCGTAAACAGTTTTGACAGCAGATTTTATCAAGATAGTTCTGAGAAAAAAACAACGCAGGTAAAAGGAGGAGGGTAATATACATCGGTATAAATAGCAAACTTGAACAATAAGTCCCTTCCATACACATTAACCCTCCAAGTGTCCACAGCTGATTAAATCTGCTGTAAGTTTCATTCCTGTAGTGTCACTGCTGATATACTCGGCCGAAATTCGATTCATTATTTCGGTTCATTTATCCCATTCTTTATATTGCTTAACATTTCAACTCCTTCACAAATGAACTGTCCATTCATGTATATAATTAATGTATGGTTGTGAAAATTCTTTTTTATGTGGTAGAATTGGGTTGTTTTTTGCTGTGAAAAATAGCTCAATGATCATGTGATTGGTGTAAAGCGCTCAAAGTTAACACTAGTATGGGATAGAGCGCTATATAAATGCAATCCATTTTTAGTATTATTATTAACTGTCAGAACTCTACTTCCTATTTACATTCTGAGAATGTCTAGATTTATAGCCTCTATTAGTTTGGTTTGCCTGTTTTCAAGCATTTTGCAACATATCGTGGTGAAATTTTATCATATAATTTTCCCACACACTGCAGTTTTTTTTAAAGAGACACTTGAAGGGTTAAAATGCATACCCCTTAAGAGAAACAAAGGTTCAAAACGAACGGACATTTGTTATTTTACACCAACAGAGAGAGGTACCACTAGTAATTACTTTTCTAATTCAAAAACATTATGTTTGCTGTTTGTTGTTGTTATTGTACAACTGCACAACTTAGGCCACCAAGAACACAAGCTGCCTCATCCCTGCCTGTTAGGGTCATCTCAAGAGGAGTGGGGAAACATCTCAGCAGAAAGACAAGGATAATGGTCAAAAACCTTTTGTCTTTTGAGTGGAGAGCAAAGAGAGGAAAAATATAACATCACAGATGCCGTTCAGACATTCTTAAAAAAAAAAACTTGTCTTCGGATCACATTCTACATAATACATCCTCCAGACAAAAAGCTGGAACAAGCGGTGGTAAAGCAAACCAATCACATTCAAAAAGAAAAAAAACACACAAACAAAGCACCCGGGCACTCAAGACTATATAAACACATCAACAATTCCAAAAACAAACCCATCTAAATTACAGCAGTAAAAATGATAACAATATCAACACTAACAAAGGCTGTTTCACAATTAATGTTACTCTACAGATTTAACAATGCACATCCAGAAGTAACAACATACCTAAGTCACCACTTTCTGATTCAAGCGAAAGAAGCACTGCCATTGTTTCTCTATATTTTCATTGTCATCTATGACAAAACAAACTTAGGCTGCCGCTTCCTTTATCTTATACCATATTTTGACCAAATTCTATTGCACAAAGCAAAAGTTTTTACTCTTAATATTGAAAAGAAAAGAATAGCATACCGTGTTACTCACTGACCTTTTCTACTTCAAACTTCAAGGTCATTCATGAGAGTCAGCGTAGAAATTTCCAGCAGAGTGGAAACCACAGCTTGAGTCCAACAACAAGAAGTGAGGTCAGCTTCTAAAATACTTGTTTTATTCTCATAGTTCCTTCTCACAGACCTGCTCTTGAGAGCAAATTCATCAATGCTCTATATTGTCAGACATGAAGTATCCAACTCCACACGAAAAATAATGACAGTAACAATCTCTCGACGAACTTCTCCAATGTCCTTCTGGCAATTTCCTCCCAGGGAATAAATTGTTAGAATTTAACAACAGGCCATAGTAATAGGTTTGAGTCAATTATTTTTACAATTAAGAAAATAGTACTGTACTGTCATCACATTTTTTTTTTTTATGTACAGCAGAGAGATAGAACTTTGTCCTTGTAATGGCGAGAGTGGCTTCAGCATCACACTACACACAACATACTCCCTGACGTGTTTCATTTCCCAACAGCTGTGCTTTTCACTTCTGTTTACATATTATGTATGCATGTGTATGTGTGGGCTTAGGTGTGTAAGTGTCTGGAGCAGAGCTCTGTATCGGTGTGTGTGTGTGTGTGTGTGAGTGTGTGCGTGTGTGTATGTGAACGTATGCTTTTGCGTGCATGTGTGTGTGTGTGTGTGCGTGTGTTTGTGGGTTTGTTTGTGTATGTGTGTGTGGGTCTACCTGTGTATGTGTGTGTGGGTGGGAGGGTCTATGTGTGTAAGTGTCAGGAGTAGAGCTTCATGCCAAACCTGGGGTCAAATCGGAGCGGCAACGTGCTGGAGAGTGCTGAGACCTCCCAGTACAGGCTGCGCGAGAGAAACAGTCGGTAGAGCAGCACCCCGGCCACCGACTGGCACACCAGAACACCCATGGTGATGAGCTGCAGACAGAAACACACACACAAACATGAAAAGTGGTATCAAAGACAGATAAAAGGGGGAGGGGGGTCATTTGTTTTCCTTTTGTCCACATAGAAATCTAAAACAAAGATGTTATAATAAGAATAATAAATAGCCTTTGTATAGCACATACCCCACTCAACAGCAAGCTCTATGCCCTTTACAATATATTACTATATAGTATATATATGTGTCATGATGCGGTGGAATCAGGCACTCGTCAATTTTTGGGCATAGAGTTATTTGTATTATCTGAAATCTATTTATTTGCTTTGCTTTCAAAGAAAAAAAATATCCATCTATCTTGAAGAGAAGTAAAGATATTTGCGATTGAAGGGGATGAGGTCGCCTAATTTCAATGGTGAAATAAGCGAGAAAGCGGCCACCAAAGTTTGGTAACTCCAATAGCTAAAGAGTCCTTCGAAACGGAATAATGACATAATTTGTGCCTTTAATCAACGTTTTATAGCAAAAGTAACACAGAATTGTGTTTTGATATGGACATAAAAAGGATTGAGTAAAAAACAAAAAATCTATAAAAATTGCCAAACTGGCCGAAAAATGCCTGTTTCTCCAGTTTCATTATTTTGACGAGCGCCTGATTACACCACGATGCCTCACAAACGTAATCGACATCAACTTTCTCAATACACAATAAGATAAAATACAAAGCAAATTACTGTCAGTTCAAATACACAGAGACCAGTGCTGGGCCTCTACTCATACCGGATACACCCAGTTCAAAGCCAGCTCTTACAACCATCCCAAAACAAGGAACAAATCTCCGACTTAATCACAGTTGTCATCTTAGCACAATGCAAGACGACTAAGCACTTATTATCTCCATAAAGAAAATATACATTGTAGTACGGAGGTCAACAAACAAACAGATTACAATGCAGTCTGAAGCATAACGTTTAAAGGTACCTCAGAGAAGTTCAGCCCTTAGATTTCTCAGACAAATCTGGAATAGGTAGGCCTACATTACTTAAAGTGGGCGTAGCACATACCTTTCTACCTTTAGGTTTCAACTTTATTATCCCTCTGTTGTTTCTGTATGCCCAACTCAATTAGTTTATGGTGCCACCATCCTTTTATTTAACCTTTCCCAAAATTTACAAATCTGAATTTCACAGTTGGTTCACAAAACAGACAACCAGGTTAACAAATGAAAATTTTGATTCAAATTCTTGGGGTGAAAATCAACCTACTTTGCAGCTCATCTAATAACTCAGTCGCATTAAGTAATATGAACGGTGAAATTAATAAATCAGAAGACGTACCTTATAGCGCAGGTATTCTGAGAACATCCATGATAACACAATGATGAAAGGGTAACAGAGGAACCACATCATACATAGCTGAGGAGTAAAAAAAAGTGAGATTGTGCATCTGACATTGAACATAGATAATTAAAAGAAGAAATATTGTGATGCACCACAAAAACTAAACAATGTCTTTGATAACGAAAAAACTAGAATACAACTTTTCTAGCTGTCTTTTCTTGATAACCTGCTTTGTAGACAAAGGGAAGTGAACCCATCCATCTGATTACAAAGGAGCATCCAAAGAAATTGCCTCCCTTGACACACAGACCAGTCCTGAGACAACTTTTTCTCAAAAGAAATGTCACTTTTCAAAACCTGGAAATTACAAAAAATCTCTAAGTTACTGACTGAGACGAAAGCTCAATATACTTAATAAGTTCAAGTTTCCTTTTGTATGATTCTAAAAATAGTCACAAGCACTACAGTTCCAAATAAAATCAGCTGAGCAAATGGCATTTCAAAAGGCCAGTCAACAGGTGGTAGTGTGACCACTATGTCGATGCAATACATACACTTTCTGACATTTCCATAAACTGACAGGCGCATTGATAAAAAATTCACATCAAAGGGCTATCATATTACACACACACACACTATAAACGTGGTAATAGCCATGGCTCTCTCTGTTCAGGAAAGACTTACGTTTGGACATTTAGCATGACAGAGCCTGCAATATTAAAAAATGTCAAATGCTCCAGAAGCAATGGCATATCCCTGCCACATAACTTAATCGGTAAAAACAAGACATATTTACTGCCCCCATGAAACAACCAGCAAATTGGAGAAGGGCATTAAGCAGATCACATTGCATACATGGAGTCACGCATGTGAAATGTGAGACTGAAATATACTTGATCACTCAAACATCAATGAAATGAAATGAAAGAGCGATTCATTATTGATGCTCACAAAATATGCCAGAAGTCAAAACTCACCAGGAGAGCAGCAAGCAGGATTACATAAACAAATCTAATAAGCTGAGTGTATCAGACACAGACATTTGTTTCATTAAAAAGAGAGTGAGTATAGTATATACATTCCGCATTCTGTTCAACCCCTTCATGTCCTGTACGATAAGCACCGTTCATCATTAGTCCTTATGTGGCGGAGGAGGCAAGTTGCTGCAATGTTAAACAGCACTCTGCATGCCTTTAAGGACCATAATGACCGGTGCTGTTAGTTATATTTTTGTATTCGTTTTACTGTTTCAATAAGATGCACTTTGTTATACTAATCACCTATTAGAATTCAGCTGTACTTTTTCCGTACAAAGAGATCTTAGACTTTTAGACACAGTTTGTCATATCTACAAACCAGATCTAATTATATGTCATTAATCTCTAATTTGAGCGTCACCATGCATCCTTGGGGATCAAAAATGGTGCTCAATGAAGCACAAGCCGCAAACTGACCCTGTATCACTAAGGGATTAATGCACAGGTACATTTTAACTGGAAATTTGCCAAGAGCAGCAGGACAAAGAAACGAAGAAGATATACCTTGGTAAAAGAACTGTAAAACTGCCTTTTCAAACTGCTCCTCTCCGAGCGGATCAGCTCTTTCAGTTTCACAGCAAACATAGCTGCCAAGAGAATGCGTAGTAAAACCAGAGAGATTCCAGCGTAGCTGCGTTGGGCATGGTACATGCGTCGGTTCACATCTTGACTCTGTTCCCACATAAACATCAGTCCCTGGTAACAAAGACAGTTTTGATGTAAACCAACTCCACAGGGTCACATTATATGAGAACGTTTCATATTCACTACTAACTCCAGATGTTTTTCAAAATCTTTATTTTGTTCCAAGGAGAGAACTGAAATCTTTTTTATTTTCTTCAAAGGAAACAGAATTAGCCATCTAAAAAGATAATCAGCTTTTTCAAATATTGAATTTAAACACCAGGAAAAAAACGGATGTAAAAATACTAGAACATTTTTAAAAATCCAGCAATACTTTTTTTGGTGTTCACACTAAAAATATGCTGAAATGATATATCACGATATTTGTATTTAAATGAGTATGAGCAAAGAGGGCAGGTAAGTCTATGGTCAGCGCATCTAAACCTTGACATTTGTTACTTTTGTTCAACTTTCAATCAAATTTTAACATACACTTACAAATAATAAGTGTCAGTTCCTATCGCATTTTTCCAAGACATGGGGGTCAATGAGCGTAATTCATGTACTTTTGTCTCTTTGAAATAAAACTTTACAAGACATGTAATCAGTCTGCTCTTCCTCAGCTCCACAAAAAAACAAATAACAGGCCAATATAACTGTAACTTTTAAGACATAGTGAAATAAAGTAAAACTGAGAAGAGACATTATGACGGTTTGGTTCAAGAAACCCGCACTGAACATTTCACTTACATGACAACCAGTTACCTCTTTGTGAAATCATATATCTCTTTCTCATTTAATTTCCTCCACTAAAAACAGGGATAGAGTAAAAATCTGTTTGCTTTCCACCAGAAGCAGAAACAAACAATTTTTTTTCTCTTTTCTTTAATTTCGTGGCTGAAGTTTCAACACAAAAAATGTCAACCAAGGGCTTACCTGTACAAGGCCCAGTACAGCCACCACTCTAGCAGCCGGCTTCCGGCTCATGTCTCGTAGGTGAGAGTAGCGGCAGACAGAGTGGGCGGAGGCCAGCGACCAGCCAAGGGACAAGCTCAGCAACATGAATAGTACTGCAAACTGGGACAGCATGTCCAAAACTGTTGAGCAAAGAGGAGACTTGTTGGTGATTTGTAAGAATATAACATGCTACCAGACACAAATGGGTTAATTCAAATGTTGCACACTCAGCCTGCTCAAAATATGGCAAGCTCTCTCCTCTGCCAAAATAGGTCACATTTGCCATAGTAGAAGCCACTAATCATCTTGATCCTTACTTAGCTGCTATTTCTCTTTATGTGATATTCTCCTCTGCGGATGCATTGGTCATCAGACATTGACAGAAGAATTACATACCTATTATTACACTCAGTCAGATTGGAAGAGTAAAGACAAAAAAATGAAGGAAAGAAGGCAGAGACAATAATATACTACAGTAAACAGCATATATAAAGATCTTAGCACAGAGAGATTCATGCATGGGATTTGACCATCAGAGGGGTAGCACTCTCTGCTTGCTGGTATGCAGCAAGTCAACTTGGGTGCCCCTCCATCCACTGGGATTCTTCAACTCCCTATACACACAAGCTGTCAGAAGAGACAACTAAATATGTTGCCGAGCTGCAAATTGGCAGAATAACCCCTGTACTTCTGCAGCAAGCAAACCAAGTATACTTAAAGAAACAGAAGGACCAGACCACATCAGAGCCCCGGTCAAGTCCTTGTGGTAACTAGACGGAATAGATTAACCAAAAACCTTTTTTTTTCGCAGTAAGCAAGTAAAATTTAACAGATTAATGAGTACAATTACTTGACAAGTTCCGTCTTTACCCCAAGTCAGTTAAGTCCTCAGAAACAAGAAAAAACTGGTGACCAGTAAATCGCAAAAGTAAGTGTAGTTTAGTTATCGTAAGAATTTTATGGCACTTGCAACACAATAAGGTCATATAAGTGCCGAAGAATAGATGTGTTACAAGACAGTTACATACACAAAAAAGAAGGAGAGACAAGGACGATACATGTTTGATAGGAACGAAAGAGCAAACCACACCAGAGCAGCCACCAACCACCCATGTATGTGTAGTTTGACACATTCAAAACATGCTAATCAACACAACCACAAGACTAAAAACAACAAATAAAAGACAGACAATAAACTCATTGACCACTTTGGGTATTCACTTACATTCTGAGGAAAGCTCAAGGTAGGGAGACCCAACTCCATCATGAGAATATCTGAAAGTAAATTAAATGTAATCGAACATTGATTAAGTGCCATAATAAATACCTACAATAGAACAAAGTTCAAGACTAAAGACATCCTCCACTGCCAGATGATAACACAACATTCTCTGACAAAAAAAACCCCCAGAAAAAACAGGAGGAGCAAACAGTCCTTAGAATACAATATCCTTTTTGTTCTTGTGATTGGTCCAGCTTAGACCCATCTCAAACAAGTAATTCAAAACAAGAGGGAAAACAAGAATGGGATGTTCAATTTTGGTTTTGAGTTAAAGAGACGCATGCGAACACAATAACTGTCACTTAGAATCTAGTATTTGGGAGAAAAGCAAGACAGAAACAAAAGAAGGATATAGTTTTTTAAAAAAAGAAAAAAAAAAAAGAGGGACTACAATATAGAGCTAGTGGCACCCCCTAACAATTCGAGTTGAGTTCATAAATTAAATATTTTCTTCAATTACCATTGAGAGAAGGAGAGAGAAAAGGAACGAGAGAAAAGAAGAGAAGTAGGTATAGAAAAAAATGAGGAAGAGAGTTTACGCGCTTCCAAGTGAATTAGCAAGTGCAGGGGTTTTATAGATATAAATGTCTATGTCTTCTTGTGTGTAATCACATAAGGACACTTTGGTGAGTTTGAGAGTGTCTGTGTTCTCGCAATGCTTTGAATTCAAATATCATGTTGCAAAAGATGTTGAAAATACACCCAGATAATCTCAAGCAAACGTACATGATCAGGAAAAGTTCAGATCATTCCTTAAGCAGAAATGAGAGCAGTGCATGAGAGTTACCTGTAGAAATGAACAACAAAGATGAGCACGCCGACCGCCTGCAGGGACATGGAGAACGTGAGTAACTGTATGACCAGCTGCATGGGCCCGCCCTTGCTGAGTGTTTGGTACAGCTGTGGGGCCACCACGCAGGCCACCGCAAAATAGATCACTGTCAGCAGCTGGTAAAACTTGAGTAAACCTAGACAACAAAGAGAGCAGAGTCAGTCATAATGGTGAGTTTATGAGTAAAGAGAAGAAAGATCGGATTTTTTCTTAAGTTTTCTTCCACTGCTGAATGATGCAAGGTAAGCATTTCATTAGGACCTAGCAAAAGTTGTGAGGTGACATTAAAAAGATAAACAACATAAACTTTTGAATAAACATCACCACCAACACTTTTTATCTATTATTTATTTTACATCCCTCAACACTGGAAGACAACCTCAGAGAAAAATCTGGTCAACAATCTGCGAAGCCCACTACATTTTGTAATCATAGCCACAGCAGGCTTCAAAAGTGATTTTTCAGTCACATCTTTAAAAATAGTAGCAGGAAATAGAAAATATGCATGTTACCTAGGTTCCAAAACCAGGAGCAGGTCTGCTAAGCATAAGAAAGGAAAAAGCACACTTGCAGAAACTGTGTGGCTCAACAAAATTTCTTCAGTTTACTAAGATTTGTCAAGCTGAACCATTTTGGCAGTTTCTGAAAACAAGGCTACAAGAAACAGTAACTAAAAGAAGACAACATCATAGGAAGGGGTGGATAAATGAAATGAGAGGGGAAGGATTTACAAGGAACAATATAATCATGTATTGTAACTAAGCAAGAGAGTGAGATTGGTGTTTGCGCTGCTCTTTCTCACTTAAAACAAACTTTGCGCATGTCAAACATCTGGTCTCATCTGCCACAGCAGAAGCCACAAGTCATCTTAACCTTTAATTCTTGTAACTTTTCTATTTCACTGAAGAAATATATTCTCCTTTGCAGATGTACTGGTCATCGTCAGAATAGACGGACAAGCATTATCAAAATCACATACCAGTTTCTTGATCTCCAAAGTGCTCCGTGGGGTTGCCGATGCTGTCAGGGTTGAACAGTTGAAGAGTATAATGAATGAAGTTGGGCTTTTCAACCGGGGACACAGGCCGATTGGTATCACACGTGTATACATCTGAGTACACGATGTGCCATATCCGGGGATACACATAGTGGGAAACGGGACGACTGCCACTGGTCTCATTGATGGAAACTGGTGGAGAAGAAAAAGACATCACATTGAAATATAAAGATACAGAAATGCAATAAGCCAAACGAACCACAAGATTTGCTTTTTTGTGTTAAAACATTGACGGAAACTGGGGAGAAGGAATGACATCACATTGAAATATAAAGACGCAAGAACACAATAAGAAAAACAAACAAGAAGATTTCTTTTTTCGTGCATCTAAAAACAGAGACTATCTCTTTTCTATTCTAAATGAGTCTAGACTTCCATGACATTTGAAGGTCAGATGTCATGACAAAGTCTGCAGAGTCCCAAAGCTCCCAAACTCTACAGCTCCGCAGTAAGATTATCACAAAGGGCTAGAACTGTATCCTCTAATTTTCTTTCTAAAAAAGTTGTGCGAGGCCAATGATAGACCGTAACAAAACATAGGAAGAAAAACAATAATTAACTTTTTCAGCAAATGGATGACAAATAGGCTTTGTTCCTATTAAAAGTGCTTACTCAATTCCTTTGCTTTCGCGAGCCGTCTGTGACAATTGGTATCTCCAGCAGCATCCTTCCAGTCTTCGGAGACAAAAAGATGCAGATTTGCTTCAGTCCCAGTTGAGTTCACAGTAAAGGTTAACACAGCATCACCTGTTCAACAGAAAAGCAAATAAAAGTTGTTTTCAGTCAGAAGGGTAAAAAAAAAAAACTTTCATCTCAGCGCTGACAGACATAGTAAGTGTTTAGAGAAGAGCCAAAACCAAAACAAAAACAAAACATAAAATAACACTTGACTGCGGAGAACATCATCAGTTCAAACCAGTGGGTTTTTACGGTGTGTTATAATACACATTTTCAACTCTACTGATGAGCAACTATGCCATTTTCAGGTTTCTGTCAAAGATATAGTTATGCCCTTCCCAATTCGCCTAAACTTTGTTCTTTTCAAGTCAACTTTGGGGACTTGCAGAGATCAAGTCGTACTTACTGTAAGTATAGTGGATAACTTCACTTACAATTTTTGGAAAGATTCAAATGTCAAAATTCTCGAGCTTAAAAAGGAAAAGTGTCATCTCTGTTTCGCATTCTTGCTTTCTATGAAACAAAAATTCTTTGCAAGATTCAGAGCAACAAAACTTGAAAGAAAGAAATTTATTGTCAAGCAATAAAATCTCACCATGGAAAGCAAAAGATGTGACGTACTGTCCCCTTCCAGCTTGAGCCACATAAGTGTTAAAAACTCCACTGACTGTTTTACAGTGTAAACTTGGAATCCACAGAAAAAGTGTTGCTGCTACGTAAACCAATCTTTTAATGCTCCCTCCACTCCACAGTGCCGCTCCATTGTTCATCGGTCTTAATGTTTTTGCCATTCAGTCAATAAGAGCTCAACTATGAAGGAGCACAGGGAGAGGTCAAGGATTTCAGCATAATTGGCACTTCTGAATCAGCATCCAGGTGTTACAGACAAACCAACCTAGGGAAACAAAACAAAAGAATCATTTCGTTAGTCTAGTATTGAAATGGAAAAAAAGTATACACACACACACACACACACACACTATTGATTTGTGTATGAACAGTTATATTAGCAAACAGTACATCGGCGATGCCTCTCTCAAGCATGAGTCGACACATATTATATGCATTCTCAAGTCTTTCTTCTGTTTATCTATCTCGAAACATGTAAGACTTGACGATGATTTGCATTACATCTGGGTTGCTAGAGAATTAGACAAATAATCCTGAAATTCTTATCCGTTTAGAAATGGAAGCATTTCAGCTGATCGATAGTTTTGTTACAAAGGTACAGGGCAGAGGGAAAAAAAAGAGATTTTCATTTTCTTTCAGACCACTGTTCTTGGAAATCGTGTTCAGACTTTTAAGCAGACTCAACAGTAAAGGTCACCTTTATTCTCACCCCAGGTGATAATAACCCAAGTCTCACTATTCTCACCCCCCTCAGGTGTGCTACATAGGCCTACAGTAGGCCTATAGCACAGGCACACACAGAGAATAACTAATACCCTGGTGAGAATAGCTCCCACCCCAGTGTGAGCATGAGCCGAGGACCCCCCTCCCCCCTTGACCTCTCGCAGGCGGATAAAATCACCTAGGCCCTTGGTGGCTTACCATATATGTGGTTGGGAATGAATAATAATATTATAAATAATGTAAAAACATGTTTTTCCTCTCCAGTTTTTAAAAAAAGGCTCACAGCCGATGACACTGAGCGGGATGTGGGACCAGCCGCCGGCCAGACCATTCGTTGCTTACACACTTAACGATAGCAGGCCTCTCACTCTCTGCCTGCACACAATAAATTATAGTTCAAGGAACAGAGAGCGTGTACAAACGTAACGAGACGCAAGCACAAGACAGTTTATAATTTAAGCTCTAGCACCATAGTAGAAGGGTTGTAAACTAGTCAGACCAAATGGGTGAGGGCATTAAATCATGTACTAGTTTAATAATTTTAAATCCAGCTCTTTTCTTCACTTTCATTTTTTTCTTCTTTTAAATTCTTTGTTTCTTTTTTTTTTCCTCTTCTTTCCCCTTCTTCGTGAACATTTGGAGTTTGGACCAAAAAAGAGCTAGAGAGCCAAATGAAATTCTCCGGGCCAGACAAGATCCAAAAGAGCGAAATTCCTCAGATTTGGCTCCAAAATGACAACCCTGACTGTGACTATTTGGACACGAACAGTGACAAACATATCCTGTGGAGCATCAGCCCTGACCCCCCCCCCCCCCCCTGGGTCATGCCTGCTAACCTCAGCCCTAATCCCTCTTCTAGATGCAGAACGGAGAGGTGAGAATAGCAAGACATGGGTTAGGGTGAGAACCACTTCCCACTGTAAATGCTGTTCAGGACGATTCCCAGCAGCAGGCCTACTCTGATACCGAAACTTAGGCCTAAAGTTTAGACTAGCTAAAGCTGTAGCCTACTGCTGTACAGTCTATTTACTAAGTAAGTCTTTGGCCTTGGGGCTTCTGGGTCTAATTAATTAATAAGTAGATCTAGACCTAGTAGTACTTTTACTAAGCTCAGTAGATCAGCAGAGTAGATCATGTCCTCATTTGAGCTTGGCCGGATAAAACTTTGGTGGACCCACTGTATTAACATACATGGGTATGAATGTGCACTGATAATTTTAAAAACACACAGAACTGCAAAACAATTATAAAAGAGAACAGAGAAAAGAAAAGTGGACAAGGAACATAAATTTTTCAATGATGGTTACATGGCATTGCACAGATAGTGAGGCTCAAAAGTAGATCTAGTTTGGCTTCGTTCAGTGTTGGGTCCACCAAAGTCCAATCTTAGCCTCAAATGAAAAAAAAACTCCAGTAAGCCAAAACTCCTTCAAAAGTCGAGCAAGGTGGGGCAGGTAGGGTTAAAAGTGACTGGAAATGAAAGTGAAGTGAACTGAGGAAAGCAAAGAAACTTGGAAGAGAAACAAAAGTGAAAACACTGAAAAGAAAGAGCAGAGATGAGTTCCCAAACATCAAACATTTACAACGCTGTTTCACTGTGTTTGACAGCAAATACACTGACATTTTCATAAATACCTTCTTGAAGAAAAACAAACAAAATAAACAAACAATATTCAACATCAAGAGTAGTTTAAATTCAGTCTATATATTCATGAAGACAGGGAATAGCAACAGGCTGTCGGTAGCACAATAACTTGAGCACAAAGTAACCGTACTTGTGTCCCTTAGCACCGGAAGTTGTACGTGGTCGCTTCTTTTCACAACTCGGGACAGAAATAGCTTTACGAAGAAGAGTAAACAAACACGCAAACACGTAGGCAACAATTTCCGGTTTCAAAGTTATTCCCGACATTCCCGTTGGCCTCATTGGAAATTTTGGGAAATAGCCCC